GAAAGAAAGAGAGAAAGACGGACAGAGAGAGAAGGAGAAAAGAAGTTTTCTCTCATTCTAAATTGATTCAGATCAAATAGGATTTTCAACAAGCATCGAGATATCGGTACCTGCGTAAGTCGTGTAAAATTACGAGAAGTTGAAGGTATAATGGATAATATTCCGATACTTTAATCAGCGATAACTCGCCGCCGAGCAGCCCCCGATGTAATCCGTCTTAATAATGCATTCCGTGTAAAAAATACCTCCTCTGCGCGTTTAAAAATTGGTGTAGGTTCTACGGCGAGCAGCCTATACATTTCCAAGCCACTCCACCGGCACTCCGGCACTCTAGATCCTCTCTTCCCACCTGAGGATCTCTCCAGCATCCCCTGCGTTCCGCCTCAACCCTCTCGACTCGACTCGACGCCGTTCCTCTTCGTCGCTCTTTCGCGCGCGCGCGTGAAAGAGAGAGAGAGAGAGAGAGAGAGAGCTGTATGGATTCGCTCTCGCGGTATTCAAGAATTTCCACGGAATTCCCGCAACCGGCCAACCGAAGTCTTCCTTTTCTCCCTCCCCGAAAGGGCTCTCTCTTCTCTTAGAAGGGTGCAAGTCGCGCGGGTAAGACGCGAGACAACCGGAAATAGATCGACTCCATTCCAGGGGCGAAATTACCGTCTATGCCTCAAAGACAAACGCGACGGATTACCGATGTTGCTGCCAAGACCGGCGCGTGTAAACGATGGCGAAACCATAGCTCGCGGAAACGAGTTCAAAGCGAAAAGAAATCTATCGCGGTAATAAAGTGGTTATATTGGATCTCCATGCAAAATCCGCGCTGATACTTTGCACCAACGAGCAGCGAGAATTTCCTTCTTGCGGATATAAAGAGTGTTTTTTAAGTACTGTGTCCAATATTTTAGGAGTTGATTTTTGAGGTTATTTTGTGAAGAAGAATTCATGTAAATATATATGGTCTCAAAAGCCTCGTTTTAGGGATATAAGATGTTACCAATTTTTCGGTTTTACAGTTTCTAAACGGAAAGAGGTTTTTTTTCGAATCAGTAAATAACTAGAGTATTGCTATCATTTTATATCTATAGTCGCTGCTTTGTAAAAAGTCAATGGTATAGAAATATAATGAACGTATATAATATATTACTGTCACGAACTTGTACGCCAATGAATGAAATCAAATTTTTTGTAGATTCTTACTATTCTATTGATTATCTATAAAAAAGTACTCTTGATAGATTTCGATAAGGCAATCAATTTAGAAGAAATTTGCGTTTCAATATTTTAAGGCGTCTAATCTTGTGATGTAAAGTCAGAATGGGTAGTTTATTATCTCAATTGATTGAGTAGAAACTTTCTACGATTGATTCTGTAGAAACTTTCTACAGAAATCTTTCTGTTTCTACAGTCGAGTTTTTATCTGATTTCCTGACAACAGCAAATTCAGTTCCACTAACGGAGTTATTTTTTCCGTGTAAGTATCTATTTTTTAGTTGTAATACGGCAAAAAGTTTATTTTTTGTTAGTTTTTTTGGTATATTTTATTTATTTCGCGTTAGAGAATTTTTAACACCCGTATTTTTGAAACCTTTGAGACTATACGTTCATTTTGGTATATTTTATTTATTTCGCGTTAGAGAATTTTTAACACCTGTATTTCTGAGATCTTTGAGACTATACGTTCATGTGAAAATTTCTTCATAAAATAACCTCAAGAATCAACTTTTAAAATATTTTAATAAGATATAGTAAGTAAAATATATACTAATAAGAAATATTCTCTATATTTCTGTTGAATCGTCTCTCTCACAGTTTCTGTATCGCGTAATTACAAGGGAACATTGAGCACCTTTCTCGCTTCGGATAACTTAAGAGAGCTCTCGAGCTATTAATAAGAAATAAATCCGATCCTTCGGTAAATTTCAAATGAGCTGCGCTCTCGGCGTAATCCTAATTAGCCGTATTAAGATATTCAGCAGACCGGGATGATTCGCTTTACGTAGTGAGAGGCGATACAAAAGACGCAGAAATGTAAGACGTTCCGCTGCGAAGGATGGCGAAATTCGCGAGATCCGAATGGTGTCATACTTCTCCGGAAAATCTCCTCGCGAATTATTCTCGAGCCTCACCCCGCGCGGAATCATGATTTCCAATTTGTCGAATCTCCCGCGCCGTGGCGCGCGCGGCGTTTGTCTTTAGCGCGGCCCCCGACTTGGAATTTCGTTGGGGCTGGAGAATTGGATCAGCGGCACTTTGTTTCAATTTTATCTCTCCGGCGCGTTCGTCTTGGCGGGGCGAATCGTCAGACACGCGCGAACGAACGGAGGCGCGATGATGAAACGCGCAGCGGGGAAAGTGCAAATGAATCATAAGACCGGCGCGAGAGGAGAGGCGAATTTACCGAGGAGGCTGACTGGAGGAGACATGATTAGCTCGCTACCTCTTTCGTCGGCAAGATTGTATTTTCAGAATTCGGGGAGACGAAGAAGAGACGCGATAGAAAGCCGGACAGGCCGACGAGCCCCGAGCGAGAGAAAGAGAGAGAGAGAGAGAGAGAGAGAAGCGGTTCGAATAATTTTGCATCTCGGCACGCGCGTGTCAGCGTCAGCTAATAGCGATTCGCTCGCGGCTTATTCGCACCTTCTCTACGCGCGAAATTCTCATCGTCCCGTAGCCGAAGTCGCAATTGGGCGCGTCGAATTAATTGACGGACGGAATAAATTCTTCGAGGTTGATTTCTGCATTTGCCATCCTCACCTAAGTGGAAATTCTCGCTCGCTCAATGAGTGTTACAACGTTTCTTAAAGAAAACAGTAGTAAATGACCATTTATCAAAAATATTATATCTATATTATCTGTTCCTTCAAATTTGGGTGGAGTTTGCAAGTTAATTTAGAAAAAATAAAAAAAATTTAATAGAACCGAAATTTTTTTAAACTTGGATAAATATAAAATTCATAACGAAATGCAAGAGCAAAATATTGTTTAAAAAGGGTTATTTATATTTATAAAAAGGTTGTATTATTATTAAACAATTTTCATGACCCAGGACCTCGTAGCAGGATATCATTTCTCCCTCCCCTCAAACTATTATAAACACATAACAGTTACTTGACTTTCTGGGTTAGGATTCGCTTAATATCCCTACTGTCAGTACTGTCAATGAAGTATGATGTACCTTACAGATTTCTCAATTATAGCATTTGTTCTGCAAACCACAACAGAGAAACAGCAATGTTATTTTAGTTGAGACAGCTATACATATGAAAATGTACTAAGAGAGAAAGAAAGAGAGAGAGAGAGAGAGAGAGAGAGAGAGAGAGAGAGAGAGAGAGAGA